CAGAACTGTTGTCCACTTCTGCCACGGCAACTGAACCTTGTTTCTTCTGTTGCCCTCTTCTCTTGGGACAGTTGTACTTCCAATGCCCCACTTCTTTACAGTTGTGACAAGCATCACCTGGCTGTGGACCGGGACCCTTGGAATTCTTGCTCGAATTCCCTTTACCAGATTTCTTCTTTCCCTTTCCACCTGTAACAGCCAAACCCGATGCCTCACCACCTGTACCAGATCCGGACGCCTTATGTCTGATCTCTCTCGTATGAAGAGCAGACCTGACATCCTCCAACGACACGCTTTCTTTACCGGCAATAAAAGAATCAACGAAATTCTCATATGAACTCGGCAAAGAAACCAGCAGGATTAGGGCAGCATCCTCGTCATCAACTTGAACATCTATATTACGCAGATCCAGCAAAATAGAGTTAAACTGTTCGAGATGTTCCCTCAAAGGCGTACCTTCTTGCATCCTCAAGCTGAACAACCGTTGCTTGAGATGCAGCTTGTTGGTTAGAGACTTAGTCATGTACAGACTCTCTAGTTTCAACCACAAGCCCGCGGCAGTCTTCTCGGCAGCGACTTCAATGATGACGTCATCAGACAACGATAGCATGATGGTCGAGTGGGCCTTCTCCTCCAGGGTATTCCACTCATCGTCATCGACCGCTGCCTTCTTCTGTTTCGCAGACAGCGGCCCCCACAGCCCTTGCTGTTTTAATAAAGCCTGCATCTTGATCTGCCATATAGCGAAGCTGTTCTTCCCCGTGAACTTTTCGATCTTCATGTTCACCGACGTCATTCTTCTGAATCGAAAACCCTAGCCTGATTTCCAGCCGCGGCTCTGATACCACTTGTTATAAACGCGCTGCTACGGATCGGAAAATCGCCGGAATCGACAAAGCAAGAATACGAAAGCAAGAATCGAAAACACAGACACACGATTTACGTGGTTCACTAACATGATGTGTGTTAGCTAGTCCACGAGCGAGAGAGAGCCAGTTTCACTATATCGAGGAGATTACAGATTACAGAGGAGTATGAGAAGTATTTATAGTACTTCTCCATGTGGGTCTAAACCTAATCCAATCTGACAAAGGAAACGATTACTGACCAGCCCCAGAACCCGAACCCAAATAACATTGAGCCCATACACCGTCCGATTCAAGTCATATCAACATTTTTTAATGCGTAACTCAAAATAATTTATGAGGAAGGGATAGAGCTCTTGGGGTTTGGCTCTTGTTTTTCATATTGTGTCTAGGTAGTCTAACTCAAAGTAGTATTCCGACATCGTCTACTAAACATGATTTAATACTAAGAATACGTGAACTCCAATAAAATAATTAATGTCATTGGTTTGGTCCAAAAATATTAATTAATCAAATAATTTGTTAATAATGATGTTAATTCTTACGTACTTACAATATTCGGACAATCGTTTTACTGATGAGTTAAACAAGGAGAAGGGAAAGGGGTTGACCGAACCCTAATTAGTTTTTTTTCTTTTCAAATATTCTTTTAATAGAAAAATATATGAGATGATCCCTGTCATTGCCTTTTCCATCGAAACAGTTCTGCTTCTTTTGAATTGGCTCAAGCTCCCTATTTTGTTCACATAAGATAAAAATCCCGATTTTGATACTATTTTACGATTTTAAAAATTTTAATCCCGATTTTGAACGATTTTAAGGTGAATCGATTTTACAGTAAAATCAGGATAGAAATACCTGAGTAAAATCCTAAAATACGATTTTACTATCAAAATCCTGATTTTGACTGCATTGAGTTAGGGATCAACAACACCCAAGAGAAAAGAGTGAGTTTCTAGAGAGAGAAGAGAGGGATTACAAATTTGAGCTCAAGATCTTCTTCATCTTCTTCTAGGCTTGAATCCTTGTCTTCAAGATCCACCCAAGCCTCCAATGATGCTCCAAGATCACTCTAGCACTCTCTCTCTCTCTCTCTCTCTCTCTCTCTCTCTCTCTCTCTCTCTCTCACTAGAACTCCCATTCGATGTTTTTGGGCAAACCGTAGAGAGGGATTTGATTTTCTCTCCAAAAACCAGCTCCCCTTTTCTCTCTCCCCGTTGTTGTCTTCATATTTGCTCGAAAGTGACTAGTTCATGGACGCGTTGGCCAGTTCAAGGTCGTGAACAACTAAACGCGTCTGTGAACTCAGTCGTCTCCAAAACGCACCGCTTCACTCTCCTGGGTTCACGGTTAATGGCCCCAGTTCACGGTCTTAGCGACCGTGAACTCGCATGCCGTCAGTAACCTCTGAAATCTCGCTGGACTGCTCGATGTTCACAGTTTGTGGCTCTAGTTCACGGCCTTGGGAGACCGTGAACTCCCTTGTTTGACCGTGAATTGCGGCTACTTCCTGGACACCTGCACTTCACTGTTACGGGGCGGTTTTTGTGCTTTTTCGACCTCCAATTATCCCGAAACTCATCCTCGGCCCTTCTACACGTGCTAGAACCTTAAATGTATCAAATAAGCACAACCTAGCGTGAAATATGTTGAGGAACGATGAATACTAAGCTAAACGAATAACAAATGAAGGGTAAAATGTGTACATTTGTGCTCGAATCACCTAGTATTTCCTCTTCTTGATTAAAACTTAACTTTAGGGTTTACCTTGTTAAAATTTCATCATTTTTTGGTCTGGGCCCTATGAGCGAGCATAGTGAGTGAAAACTGATCATGGTGATACATGGTATCATGAGTTATTTCACGAGTCTGAAACATGGATCAATAAAAAAATTGATGGAAGAATGAGAATTAAAGCATATTCTACGATGTATGCTTTTGAAGGATACTTAGTCGAAGAATATGATCCCAAATGCTATGAAGAAATTTTTGGATATGACAAGTATATGTTCTGTAAACACAAGGTATTTCTAGAATACGAAGTATAATACCTAAAAAGCTACCATGACAAAAGATATTAGCCAAGCTAGCTGATAATTTTAGTGAAGATCCAATTAAGTTATGGAGTTTAAATGGTCTACAACCAAATTTGAATAAAAAGATCCAAACACAGTTAACGGAGTTAGAAATATAACATATACAAGTGATCAAATGATAGAGGAATTGGATAAACGAATTCGTGAGTTACTAGAAAAAGGATTAATTCATAAAAGTTTTAGTCCTCACTCTAGTCATGCTTTCATGGTAATCAATCATGTAGAGCATATACGAGAAAAAGTTCATATGGTTATAGATTATCGCCAATTAAACAAATAAACCAAAGATGATGGCTATAAGATTCCTACCGCTGGTGGCATTATTGTCTTATTGTCAGAATAGTAGCTACATATTCTCTACGTTTGATATTAAGAGTGCTATTGGCAAATTAGAATGGAAGAAGAATCAATTCCTTTAACATGATTTTATGCTCCACAAGGAATGTATAAATGGTTGGTTATGCCATCCGAATCGAAGAATGCACCTGGCACTTTTCAAAGGAAAATGAACGATACTTTTAGAATTCTAATTTTTTTTTTTTTTTTTGTGTTGTCTAGATAGATAATGTGTTAGTATAAAGAAAAATGAAAGAAGAACACATCAAAGTGGCTAAAATATTCTAAAAAGAAGGAATGATTCTATCCGAAAGAAATATAGAATGGTGTAAAGAGAAAGTTAATTACTTGGTCATACAACTTGAAAATGGAATAATATGGTTACAAAGTCATATAGCCGCAAAATTAGTTAACTTTCCTGATGAATTGGAGAATACAAAGCACGTACAAATATTTTGTGGTCTTGCTAACTATGCTAGAAAGTTAATGAAAGATCTTTCAAAACAACTGAAAGGATCATCTAAGAAAACATCTGATAAAAATAACTTTTTGAAATAACAAAGACACTCAATCTATTAAACTGGCCAAAAGAACGTGTTAAAAACCTTCATTGCTTAAGCCTACCATAAGTTGAAGATGAGTTACTCTTGGAAACTGGTGCTTCTAATAAAAAAAAACTTCACAAGGGAGCTGAAATCACTTGGGAAAATTCTGGTTTTGAGAGAGAAGCTGAAGGTAGGAGGAGCTAAGTAGCAAGGGAGCTCTCCCCCAACTCAAGTCTTCTTCTAATTTTTACTATGTATCTTCTTCCCCCTTTTATGAGGTGGTTGTCTAAGGTATTAGAGGTTTAATCCCCAAACCTTATAATTAGGTTATTGAATGTAGATGGAATTTTGTTAGGGTTTGTATATGGAATTTGTTTGTCTAATGATTATATGCTTCATCTATGATTAATTACGCATGGGATTGTCTCTCTAACTCTTTTCATAGTAGCCCGCCACTTAGGAGTGCATGATCTAGACTGATTTAGGGATCTGATTGGTGGACAAGGTGACCATCCCTTGCCAAACGCGAAGCCCTCCTAGGCAAAGCTAGAGCGATGTGTGTGTAACCATCGATATGTTGATGTAGTGTGCAGATAGGTTGAACCTATTGGAACGGTTAGATAAGAACAAATGAGAAGTAGCCTAGGGTATCGAAATCCGTGGAATACGACCTTGGTTGGCCACTATATTAACAACGTCGTCTTGAGTTGTACTTGGCTCAAGATGAGTTAGTTAATACAGGTCGTGCAATCGATTCAATAGCTCACACAGGGATCACCCTATGTAGGTTGGTCTCAAATGATGGATTTCAAAGTACATGATTAATTCGCGCCTAAAGTGGTCAAATTTTCTAGTATGTGGAGTCCACTGATTTGGACCCTCAAAGTCCGAGGGTTCCCTGGATTTGTTACCACTAAATACATGAAGCAAACAATAAAGTTTAGACAAAGTCCATAATGAATCGAAATCAATCCTCAAATCCAGCACCAAATCCATCAAGCAAACAATTGTTAAGAGTTGTTGGATATAATTACCACAATTATAGTGAGATGTCTCTTCGGTTCTTACAGATTTACACTCTTGATTTCTAGTTAGTGGATGAGTAATTAGACCATTCAAACTCTAGGCTGATAATTTGAGCAAATGAACCAGAATAACATGTATATGGTACCTTCGATCTTATCTCCCTTATATTCTACTCCAGTTAGCTTTTAACATGATTATCTTGCTAATGATTTGCTTAATATGTCCATCAACACCACCCAACTGTTCAATCACTCCTCCATATCACATACCAATAAGGCTCATAAACTAAACTAATAACAAAAAGCATTTCATAATCCTACTAAAACGCTACAACTCTTTTCGAACATAAGCGCTTGAGAATACTGAAACAACTTGGGGATGCAACTTGCTGCCACCAACTCCGGTGAGGATGATGTCACTTCTCGGCAGGAAACACCGCGACTTCCAGCACAGGCTCCACCGGAGAAACCAGCTGGAACAGACACACATCCCCGACTCCCAAACCGTTGTCATTACTGAATCCCTTCCAACCTCTATCCATACAACGCATCTGGGTTCCCCGAACCCTGTTCAAATTCACATCCCATTGCTTCTTCCCCTGCTGCACTTGGAGCTTCACACCCGTCCATCCATCTTCGATGTGCTCTGCCACAAATGCACTCGGCATGGACTGCCAAAATTGCAACAAACCACAAAAAAGTAGTCAACAAAAAAATACCAAGACCAAGATCTAGAACTGAAGTTTTAGTTTAGTTCCACTTACAACCATGCTCTTCCCTTTAATCAAAGCACAAGTCATCAGCATCAGGAAACAAGGGCGATTGTGCGGCTTGCACAGAATAGCTTCCTCTACTCCCTTCTTCGACTTCATCCAAAACTTGGATATTGTTCGAGCAAACTTACGACCCTTGGCAATGCCACTTTCATTCACACGCTTCAACAATGTCTCCACCTCCCCTGTTTTCAAACAGCTCCAGAAAAATAAGTTCTTTTTTTTTTTTCTCAATCTGAGGAGGGATTTCTACTTCGCCTAGGAACAATAAGCTAAACCTAAAACCTTACCAGCCTGGCTGCCATCTTCATCTTCAGGGCTCACAACTTGATTGGGTGAAACTGCTTGAGCTCTGCCTCTGCCACTCTGCTCGCTGCTGTTACCGGAGGGAAGAGGGTAGCTGATAGAGCAACAGCTGAGGTCAAATATCTTCACTTTGAACTCCGAGCTGCCAAGGTACTGAAAGACGAGGAAGAAGCCGATGGATATCGAATGGTGGTCCACAAATCGACCCCAGTTCTCGCTAAACCAAGCTGAGCGGCCATCCGGTCCTTTGTTGACGCCGATCTTCCAAACGGATCCGTCGGGTAGGTTGAACGTGGCTGTAGAAGAGAGGTCGGCCCCATACACCACCACAAACTTCAGGGGCAGATCCTGCAAAGTGTTTACCAGTTGAAAGAAAAAAATATCAAATCCAAAAATGAGTTTCCGGAGGAACAAATTTCTATTTGGCGAGGTCTGAAATAACTGAAGATATTTCTCCGGAGGAATCAGCTCACCATTTCCTTTTCGTACGGAAAGCAGGGGAGGATGACTCGGAAGAATCCAGCAGGATGGCGGTCGACTTGGAGAGCAGCAGCCATTGTTGTTCTTCCTGTTGCTCTGTGGAACTAGGGAAGGAGAAGAGAGGTTTCACAAACAGAGGACAATGGCGGCTTGGGAAGAAAAGGAGGATAGCTTTAACTTTTACTCTGAACCACCTTGTCGATTATGAGGCTCCATAATTGCTCTGTTTTTGTCCTTTTAGCTTTTATTTTTGTGTTGCAGGATATGTATGTCCTTTTCCCCCCTCAGGCCCTCACTGTCACAGCTAGCTTAGGTAGTCCAGTTTGGGCAACTCACAGTTCTGCTTTATGAAGCCTGTGCCTTTCTTCTTACCGTTTTAGGAATGTTGAATTCGTGGTACTCCAGTCTTTATGCCTCACATTTGAATTATGTTCCCTCCTTTTCTTCTTTTGGGCTTTCTTTGCGAGAGGATCAAATCTCAGCTGCAGGGAACAGAATCATAATAAGAGGGGTTTATATGCTTAAATACAGTATTAGCAAAGATAAATTCTCACAATACAATACTTTGCAACAAATTTCTCAAAATACAAGAATTTGGAGCAGTTCGCTCGCCAATCTCAAGTGCAGAACCAATTCCGGAAGCAGAGCAGCAAACTTCAAACCTGTCGACCGTTGGAATGAAGACGGCGCCGTATCCAGAGGAGGGTTCCCCTACAACCAAGACGACGACGTATAGAAGCTGGAGTCAAGTTGTCTCTGGCAAATTACCAAACTGATGCCCAACTTATCATTTTGTTCATTTTCCCTTTTCGGGTTGTACTTTCTTCTTTCTCAAGTTTGTCTTCTTTACTTGTTCTGTAAACCATCAACCATTCAGCTATATAAGTTGAAGTAAGATAATGAGAATGAAACAAGCTGAAATTTCCAAACCTAAAACAGTGTTATGGTATCAGAGCCTCATGGGTTCTAACCCTAGCCGCCACCCATGGAACAAAACACAGATCCAATGTCTGATCCCTACTATCTTCATGGTAGTGAACAACCTGGATCCCAACTGGTAAGTGAGAAGCTCACTACAACAAACTACAATGATTGGCACAAGGCAATGCTTAATGCCATGGGCGCCAAAAACAAGACTGGCTTCATCGATGGGAGCATTCCAGATCCAGGAGATGACAGTGACCAATCCACCTCCTGGAAACGCAACAACATCATGGTGTTGGCCTGGATCCAACAAGTTGTTGACCCTGCCATCAGAAAGACAATCATGTCCTGCAAAACCGCTGTTGAAGCCTGGCGTAGTCTACGTGCAAGGTATGGCCAAGGTGATTTGATTCACATTGCTGAACTGATTGAATCCCTCTACACACTCAAGCAAGGTACTCTCTCAGTCACTGACTACTATGGCAATCTCATCACTCTCAAAGATGAGCTCGATAACTATCAACCTCTTGAACCATGTACCTGCACACCAGAGAGTGCAACCACCTGCAATGCTATGAATTTAGTTTTTCTCTACAGAGATACCAACTATGTTATCCAGTTTTTGAGAGGTCTCAATGATAATTTCTCAACTGTTAGATCTCAAGTCTTGTTTGGTGATACTATCCCACCAATAGACAGAGTCTTCCAGCGCATGCTACAGCATGAGAGACAACTACATGGCTTTGGCTGCTGACTACATGGCTTTGGTTGCTCAAGGAAACAACAACTTCCAAAGAAGAAGGCCTCGTCCTCATTGCACTTTTTGTAAGATTGATGGTCATACTGAAGACACTTGTTACCACAAACATGGTTGGCCACCTGGTGTATCCACCAAAACTGGCAATCCTGCAAGAAAGTCATATAAATGCTCCTTCTGCAAACGTCAAGGCCACACTGAGGAACGTTGCTTCTTCAAGCATGGTTTCCCACCCAAATTATCCACTGGTGTTGGTCGTGGCCAAGGTTATGTCAATTCCACTTCCAACAACCTATCTGATGATTCAAATCAAGAGGTCAAACTCACAAGAGCAGACTTTGACAAGCTCATGAACCTGGTCAAGGACAAAGGCCCCTCTAAGCCTTCCAGTTCCCCTTTCACTGCTGCTACCTTTTCCAGCAATTCAGGTAAATTTACCCTGATTGTTGATTCTAAACTACCCTACAACAAAAAATGGATCCTTGACATAGGTGTTTCAGACCATGTTGTTTGCTCCCTTCAACTACTAACCAATTACAGGATCATCAATGATGTTTACATCACTCTCCCCACTGGAGAGCAAGTACATGCCACTCATTCAAGCACTGTCACTTGTGTTCCTGGTTTAATCCTTCAAGAAGCTCTCTTTGTGCCACAATTTAGCTTCAATCTCATTTCAGTAAGCAAACTATCCACCACAACTTCTCTATGCTTAACATTCTTCTCAAATGTTTGTCAAATCCAGGATATGCAGCAAAAGAGGATGACTGGTTCTGCTAGGCTCTCCCGAGGACTTTACCTCATTGATCCCAACCTTTAGACCCTATACCTAAACACATCACTGCTGCCAGTTTCCAACATTTTGATCTATGGCATTATAGACTTGGCCATGTTTTTCATTCCAAAATTCCTTCTCTAAGAGACATATGTTCTTCCATTCATACTGACAAGTCATTGCCCAGTGATGTCTGTCATATTGTCAGGCAGAAAAGACTGCCTTTTCATTGTAGCAACACTGTTTGCACACAATCTTTCCAACGGATACATGTTGATCTTTGGGGTCCTAATTCTGTTCCTAGCTATGATGGTTTTAAATATTTTCTAACCATTGTAGATGATTTCACTAGGATGACATGGATAATCCTCTTATCTTCAAAATCAAAAGTCATAACTAAACTACAACAGTTTTGTTCTTATGTCCAAACTCAATTTCAAAAACCAGTTCAAAGAATCAGAAGTGACCAAGGAAAAGAATTTCAAATGACAGACTTTTTCAACTCAACAGGCATCTTTCATGAACTATCCTGTGTTGAAACACCCCAGCAAAATAGCAAGGTTGAAAGAAAACACCAACACATTCTTGCTGTTGCCAGGGCTCTCAAATTCCAAGCCAACCTACCCTTTGGTTTTTGGGGTGACTGTGTGAGACATGTTGTTCACCTCTTAAACCGTGTTCCCTTCATTGTTCTAGACTGTACATGGGCGCTGGGCCGTGCTTGGGTCGGCACGGCACGGGCAATCTTCGGACCCATTTATTTCGTGCGGTGCTTGTGACGGTCCGTCAGTTTTCGTGTCGTGCCATGCAAGCCCATTTGTTAACTTTGCTAGGCCCGGCCCAGGCCCGGGCACGGTTTGAATTGTGTCGTGCCTATTCATGCTCGTGCCATGCTCGTATTCGCGTTTAATGAAAAGGAAGAAAACAAAAGAGAGAATGAAAAAGAAGGTGAAAATTGGACGGAATAAAATAGTATTAACCGATAATCTTTGAGAAAAGTAAAAAATAGGGGGTAAAGAAAATTGGAAATATAGCGAGTGTGATTTGCTTTTGTTTAATTCTTTGTCCATTTTTACTTATGTTAGTAATTACGTAAATATCTTTATGACACTTCTAACAACAACAAATAGTTATTTTTCTACTTGTGTTTTGTAATATTTGAACCTATAATTCTTTCTATATTTATTTTCTATCAAATAAATATTATTTTTGTGCCATGTTCGTTCTTATACTCAATAAAGTCTCGAAAATATTAGGACCGACACGGCCCACTTATATAACGTGTCGTGCCCGTGCTCGTGCCCGTGCCCATGAAGTTTAGGCCTAGCACGACCCATAAATTATACGTGCTCGTGCCGGGATGGCCCATTTATTTCGTGCCCGTGCTCATGTCGTGCTCTAATCCTGCCGTGCTAGCCCGTGGGCGGCCTGGCCCGGTGCCCATGTACATTCTAGACAACAAAATCCCCTTTGAACAACTCTTTCACAAACCACCTAACCTGTCAGAACTCAAAGTTTTTGGCTGCCTTTGTTTTTCCAGTTCCTTAAAAAACCACAGAACTAAATTTGACTCTAGAGCCAGGAAAGGTGTTTTCATTGGCTTCACTACAGGCATGAAGGGCTACAAAATATATGACTTAACCGCTAATGAAGTTTTATCTTCCAGAGATGTTCACTTCTATGAACATCATTTTCCCTTCGAAGACTCACCACCAGACCCTAACTACCCCTACAGCCCCCCACCCAATCCCACCCTTTATGATGATCCTATCCCTGCCATACCATCTTCTCCCTCAACTCCAGTTGATATCACTAGCCAACCCCAATATGACAGTGATGACAACATGGATCAAATGCCCCAACCTACCCCAACCATTCCATCTCCACCACCACAGCAACAACCACCAATTCAGCCAACCAAGAAATCCACTAGACATATCAAACGTCCCACCTATCTTCAGCAATATCATTGCAACCTCCTGCAGCAGAATCCCTCAACCAGTCATCCTCCCAAGCAGCATATCTCAGGTAACAAGCATTCTCTAAATACAGTCCTGGATTACTCCAATCTCTCTCCTTCCCACCAACACTTTGTTTTAAGTATCTCCTCTCACAAGGAACCAGATACTTACAAAGAAGCAATTTTATCACCTGAATGGGATTCTGCTGTCAACACTGAACTATCAGCACTAGACTCTAATGGAACATGGGAAGTGGTTGAATTGCCAGCTAACAAACGAGCCATTGGATGCAAATGGGTTTTTCGAAATGACAACCATCAGGTTATTTCTTGCTCTTGCTGCAACAAGGAATTGACATTTTCATAATTTGGATGTGAACAATGCCTTCCTTCATGAAGACTTAGACCAAGAAGCCTACATGAAACTCCCTCCTGGATACAAAGCACCTACTGGTATGAAAACACCTGTCTGTCTTCTCAAGAAATCACTCTATGGACTTAAACAAGCCTCAAGACAGTGGTTCTCAAAACTGGCAGACAAACTTCTCTCCCAAGGCTATCAATCCAGCAAAGTAGATCATTCTTTGTTCTACAAAGCCACAGGTTCAACCTATACATCTATACTAGTCTATGTTGATGATTTAATTATTGGAGGCAAATGTCTGCAGGAGATCAATCACATGAAAGCATTTCTCCATCATGAATTCAGTATCAAGGATTTGGGCACACTAAAATTCTTTATGGGAATTGAAGTGGAAAGATCAGCCAAAGGCATTCACATCAACCAA